CTCTCTCTCTCTCTCTCTCTCTCTCTCAGACACACACAGGCCTCCAGTCCCTTGCACAGCCTGATGGGGAGTGTGACACAACCCGATGTTGTTCCTGATTTGCTGACCCTGCCGCTCAAGACACTGAAAGACCGTGTTCAGTTTTTCAACCACTCAGAGGTGAACGAAGAGAGAGTGGGAGAAAACAAAGGGAAAGGATAGAGGTGTAGGTGGGTACAATAAAAGTGTGTTTGAGCCCTGTCATACTCACCCCTGAGGGGACATAGTTGCCATTGGTCATTTCTGGAGAGCTGGGGGTGTGGCGGGAGGAGGGAGACATGCTCAGGTCCACCGCAGGGGGGGTGGGGGTGTCTGTTCGATCATGAGGGACCACCTGCACACCTGACACACACACTTGGTTAGATTACCTTTAATAGTTTTGTCTTTGTTGTTTGTGTCTTTTGTTTTCATGTCAAGGTTGCCTACCTGTGCGCGGAGAAGCTGGCGAGGCCGGCTCTATGACTGCAGTCCCATCGTCCGCCATGCGTAGCTGGCGAGCTCGCTTGGGGTGCAGTGGGGAAAGGAGGGGCGAGTGCGCCCCTCTGTCCCGCCCACTGGCCCGCCGAGGGAGCTTGAGGTCCAGGGGCTCATCCAGGGACAGCATAACGGCAAGTTTCCGACCTCCCACCTGCGCAAACAACCAATCACAGAGGGTCAGAGTCAGGCCAAGCGAGGCCATTGCAGGATTGCTTTCTTTTCATATAAACACACAGATGAAGAAATTCTGCAAACAACAGGAGACACATTCTCACACCTGCAATATTTCCCACGTGAAACGCTGCTGAAGGTTTCTCACATTCCACAATTCCCACTGGGTGAGAAATACTCTCAAACAATGGTAAACTGACCACACTTGTAAACTGAAACACTGAGTAAGCCAAAGAAAAATAAACACACACCCGCAGAGATGTAAGTGACCCCCTCCTCTTTTTCCCCGCTGACCTTTACTCACACACTCTTCCTGAGGAATGTCTACAATCCAATCCAGATGGTCGCCCTCGCCACCGGCTCAGCTTCACCCTACCCCTTGGCCATTCGCTGGCCCTTACACCCTGTCACATCACCCGCTACCCCAGCCCACCCCCCACCCCTACAGTGTGTACCTTCAGACACCATGAACCTTTGAGCTCCACCAGTAACCCCCCCCAGGGCCCTCAAGTCCAGCTGCACCCACTCCGTCCAACTCCTCCCTCCTCTAAACACACTGACCTCTGGACCCACCCCGAGGACTGTTGGCAGGACAGTTCATCTAACTGTCATGTTGAGTTCTTCAGTCACAGGACTGACCCCGCATCACATGCATGCACAAGCAAACACCTAACATGAACCCTGTTAGTCACGGCAGAAACCTCCTGAAGAAATAATCAGTTTTGAGGTATAGACTTTCACGAAAGTCAGATCTTAAATCGTAAATAAATTCAGAGTCCATTCTTCTCTAACCAGATTGTACTGTTTCACACATACAGGTGGTGCTAGTACAGTACTGCTGGTTTGTAGCCAAGCTCCCTATTCAACATGATGTGTTAGGGTTCACTGCTTCTTCTCACCAGGCTCATGCACAAACGCACAAATCTCCTCAGAGCATTTTCCATCATGACACCAGCACACATACACGCACACACACACAAAGTTGCAGAACAGCTTCCAGTTCATGTAATGTGTACACCAAATGCAGGGACACACACAGTCATACATAGAAAAACACACACACAAAAACACACACACACAAGCAATTAATCAAACTGTAATTTCAACAAATTCACCCGTCCTCCCTCTCCCTCATACATCCCGACCCAGGCCGCAGTTGGTAGTGAATGGGGGGCTTTGAGAGTGACTGGCCAGGGGCCACATGAGAAGCCCTTGTGTCTAGGAGGCATGGAGCAGAAAGGTCACCAGGTTCACCGGCCCAATGAGAGATGGTCACCCGCTCTCATTCATACACACAGCCAGGGGGGTCAGGGGTATACAGAGAATGATGATACACACATGTATCAGAAAGATCAATGGATTCTACTGTATCTCACTCTAAAGGTGGGGCTACTTCTGTCCCATGGATGTTTTCTGGGTATGAAAAGTATGAATAGAAAATCGAACTTTGCTGTATTTACTTTCGGTTCCCTACAACAGGCTAAAAACATTGCAAACGTATTAAACCACCTGTGCAAGAAACATGTCAAACAATCTGTTAAGAGTCTATGCATGAAAGTCACAATAGTACAGCAGGGAGCTATAAACGATCCCCAGATTGTGAGACAGCATATGACAAAAAATAATAAAAGACAATGCACAAATTATAACAAGACGGAAAGAGACAAAGTTGCTGTTACAACTGATAGATAGATCAACAAATGTTGAGATCAGTTTAGATTTGTAGATCACAAGACGTGTTAAGTAAAATTGAAATACAGATCGAGCCGTACTGCAGAATGGCATCGTGTCGTAACTCCATGTGAGTGCGTACTCAAAACACTTTTAGCAGAGGAACAGACATGACGCACAAAATTCACTCCAAACTCTTTTAGACTTCAGGGAAACTCGGCAGCTCATAAAATATCTAAAATACAGCCACTGTAGTTTTCACCACACTGATGTGATCCTAGTGAATCACTCCCCGCTGCTCGATTTCACCTCAGCGCACCCTGACGGTTGTTTCTTGGTGGAGAAATAGCAGAGGCCCGAGTGACTCACGGTGTGTGATTGTTGGACTGCACTTATGGGATCTTTACTACATCCCTTCAAACAGCCATGGTCACTGAGAAAGGGTTTGTGGGAAATGTGAGACAAAGAGAAAAGTTGACTGAGAGAGGATAAATCAGAGAGAGAGATAGCATGGAGATATGCGTGTGTGTGTGTGTGTGTGCGTGTGCGTGCGTGTGTATGTGTGTATGTGTGTATGTGTGTCAAGCTTGGTGGCGGGTGGCTGTGAAGTTTGGGGAAGGGGTGTTGGCCCCCATGAGGACTTCCTTGCTCGGCCGTGGGGTCGACAGCCTCTCTGAAAGGCAGCATTGTCCCTTCTTTGGGCCCTCTCACTCTCTCTCTTTCTCTTTCTCTTTCTCCTCTCTCCCTCTCTCTCTCTCTCTCTCTCTCTAGCAGAGTAAACACAGGGTACAGCAGCTGAGCAGGAGAGAGAGAGATAGAGGAGAGGAGGGATGACCAAGGGGGCCACAGCAAGGATATAGAGGCTGAGGAGGAAGTGCAGGAGGAAGAGGAGTCCTGAAAGAGAGGTCTGTGTGTGTGTGTCCTCTTTAGCAACTCCCGTCACCTATTCCCCTGCGTGGCCCTTTCCCACCGGAGGCCTAACTGACCGCCCTTTGATGAGGTGTGGGTGTTCAGGGGTGAACATGGGAAGAGGCTGAGGATGTGGGAGAGGGTTAGTGACGCAGGGGGGTGGAAGGACATATATGTGAGGCTATAGGTCCACACGGAAAACATCACTGACCCTTAAATGTGCTCCAACCGAGTAATCTCCAGCCTGATCTGAGGAAATCTGTGCTGAGGAGTGTTATGTTTCAGCTCAGTTTGGTGGTTCGATGGCGCAGACAAGAGAGCTAATAAAATACATCAGAGAAGAGAAACTGTGAGCTTTAAGATTATGTTGCAGGGTTTTATAATTTGGCATTTTGTAATATTTTGGTTTCTGTGAGGAAAGCGAGAGTGTCTGTGCAAGTGTGTGTGTGTGTGTGTGTGTGTGTGTGTGTGCACATTTTGTATGACCCCCCTCTGAGATTGGCTGTAACTTAATCCCCCTCCTGCTGTGACCCTGGGAGGTAGTTTGTAGGAGGCAACCCATCTCTCCCCGGGGCTCTTTGCTCTCTTTTTTTCATTCTCACACACAAACACACACAAAACTCAGAGGAAGAGAGAGAGAGAAACATCTTCTAAAATGTAAACGTATTGATTGGTGTGATTCTGAAGAGCAAGACCATGCTGTATCCGTCCACTTGTGACCAGATCTCTGCGAACGGACGTTAATTACAGGTCTGAGCAAGGTCTTTGACTTGCATGGATACTATTAAATGTCAAAAGATTAAGTACTTTATTTGAAAACTGACGTACCGCGGGCAGCCTTAAGTGGCCACAGGAGATTGTTAGCTCCACCAAGGAGGTTACGTTTTCACCCCTGTCCATTTGTTTGTCTGTAAGCAAGATTGAACAAAAACATCTGGACAGATTTCCGCGAAACTTGGTGGAAGGATGAGTTTGAAAAAATGTCAGTGCAGAATCCAGATCAGGAGTTTGGATCCATTGAATTTTTAGATTATTTTTTGACATTTCACAGATTTCCCAGATTATAATTCATTGATCTTGATGGAAGAACTGATATCTATAAGTGGGTGACATGTGGTGCTAAATTGTATTTAAGACTGTTAGGCCTTGGAAAACATCTATTTGTTTCTCCTCCCTCTGTGGTTTCAGCCGCAATGTCATGTTTAGACCTGCTGGTTTTTCCATCCTCCAGGTGGGAAGGACGGGGGTCATAGGTGACTGAATGAGGTGAGGGTGTGGTGTGACCCCTGACTCCCTGACATTTGGACTCTACATCTGCGACCGAGGCTGAGCAGGAACAAACAAAAGCTGGCACGTTTCGAGCTGCCTTACAATGCTCAGTGAAAAATCGGATTTAGGTGATCAAAGCAGTTCCACGCTTCAAAGTGAAGTCATTCCCGTTTTTCCAGATTTACGTGGATTAGTCAGAGGAGGATGTGATGCATAAAGTTTCTCGCATTAGCACTGAACTCTAATAAGGACAATTAGATGGTGAGAGGTTTTAATATCCAGTTATTAGCATTAGCATGTCACTGAAAACAAAAGAAAAGGCCCAAAAACTATTTCTCCTTACCTCTCCATTACAACGGCTGGAGGTAATAGCGATGTGTCACCTCCGCTGACACCCCCCCATCCCTCCATCCCCTGATGGATCACTTAACACACAAACAACACACACAGCTGAGAGACTTTTTTTTTTTCCTGCCGCTGTCCTCCTCAGTCAGCCACCTCCTCAGACAGGAAACCTCAGTTTCCACTCCTCCTTCGGGCCTCTCGTTCCCTTTTTCTCGTCATCCTTCTGTTCTGTGCTTTTGTTTTTCATTCACTTTCACTGCTCTGCTTCCTCTTTCTTTTTTCCCCTTCCTCTCTCATGTCAGTCTTCTCTCACCTACTGCGAGAGCCATTCCTTGTTTTAATAACAGATTGCCAAATTATTTCCTCTTTTCCCTATTTACATATCTAGATTGTTCAGTAACACTGTTGTTTCTTATGTTCTATCTAAACTGCCCCCTTCCTCTTACCCATGCTGCAAAAAGGCACATAGGATCATACACAGGATTATGTAATAGCATTTAGCATGGTGCCACAGGGGGAGGGCTGTTGAGGGGAAAAAAGAGTTGTTGGAGCTGTTTTCACAGCAGCTGCAATGCAGAGTGACACATGCGTTCACATGTTCCAGCAGAAGGAGAATTAAGCACAGGATCGCTGCATGTTCTTTAGAGTTGGGAAAAGACAACAGGAATATATCACTGATAAATTGAAGACATTGTGAGCATGCAATTAAGAGCCGAAGAGGACAGGGAGGGAGAAATCTGGAATATCACATGGGGCAGGAGAGAATGGGGCGAGTGAAAGAAAGAC